GAAAAATGCCACAGTTTGCTGCAGAGAATATTGATAAATTCCCCGGATTAATCAAGCATAATTACATTGAACTAGTGCGCCTAATATTGAGCGCGTGTAAGGCAATTTTCAAATCAGTAAACGTTTCTTAGGTACTTGGAGGCCGAAAACAATCGACTAACCCGAGAAGTCCACTCGTCGCAGGAGACAATCACCAGAGAGACGAGCAACCTGAAATCGATGTATGACCATGAGTTGAACGATGCTCGAAAACTGTTGGACGAAACTCATCGGGAAAAAGCCCGATTGGAAATTGACGTGAAACGTCTTTTGGAGGAGAATGATGAACTCAAGGCGGATCTGTCGAAGCGCACCAAGGACTTGGCGCTGGCGGAGAATTCGGCCCGAATCTACGAGACCAGAAGCAACGAGCTGCAGCTGAAGTTCAGCCAGGCCAATGCCGATGCCAAGAAGGCGATCGGCGACCTCAAAGACATGGAGAAGGAGCGGGACAAGCTGAAGAAGCTGTTGGACGAGCACCGCAAGCAGCTGGAGGAGGAGAGTTTGGCCAGAGTGGAAGTGGAGAACTCCAACCAGAGCTTGCGGGAGGAGCTCTCATTCAAAGACCAGGTAGGTTTCGAGTCAAAATATCGCCCATCCTCGTCACGGCTATTATTCGGCTAGGGATTATCGATTTAACCCACATTTTCTGTGCATAAGCGGCATCAAGGCTCAAGAACGATCACAGCCAACTAGTTGGCCTCTGCAGTTGACTAGTAGAGTAGCTGGTGGCTTCTCATTGATCATTGTTTACCTGCGTGGGCTGATTCTTGAATAGCCATGACGGTTGAAAAACAATCGCGGGCCAACATTCGCTCGTCTATGACATCGTAAATACACGAATGATGTCATCATCATCAAGCATTTCCAAATAGAAGCAGGATTTTTTTTAACTGGCACACATATTTGTGTGTTGATATCTGAAGGATTAATTTGGGTAATTTATTCATATCGTAACTAGGGAAGTGGGGCAACGTTATCAGGCTTTTCCGTATTTTTGGACGCGCGTCATCGCTGTAGGAAAACACAGAAGAAAACGCACTGATCCAACTTCGTTCTTTCAAAGTTGAGTTATTTTAAGCGGTGAAGGTATCAAGTTGGAACGTAGCAGCCCGTACGCCCTCATGCGTCTCCTATAGACTTCTATGGGTGCGAGCGAGATGGCCGATGCCGGCTAGGTTCCGGAATGGCCAACTCAGTTTCACCCAAAAGCGCTTATTTGCCCCAATTGCACGAACCGCGGAAAAGGAGCAGCAAATTTTCATTCAAATCGGCCCTACTGCTGATTTTTGCAGGATTGGTAAAGTTGTCCGAAAAATTGACGTTTTCACACACATGCACTGTTTGTTTGAAAAATTCACAACTTCCAATCCAGGGGTAGTAGAAACTTGAAACTTTCACAGTCTATAGAAGACAGATGAGTCTCAAACCCATGAAAATTTCAATCAAATCGGCCCAAATGCTGATTTTTACC